TGAACACCCCATACGTACAAGAGTAAAGTACCAGTTAAAATACAGATTGGTTTTAGTCTTAAAATATTCCTCAATTTATGTGTTTTCAAAATATGTACAATGAGATTTCTTTGCTCATCCCCTTCGGCCGACCCAAACGTGAGCACCCCATACGTATAAAAATAAAGTACCAGTTAAAATATAGATAGCGAATTGGTTTTAGTCTTAAAATGTTCCTCAACTTATGTGTTTTCAAAATAAACAAAATAAGATTTTTGTTTTGGTTAATGTATTGATTAACTTGTTTAATAAGATTTCAGAAAAATTTTTATTTATATGTATTTGTATATGTATTTGTATACATTTTTAAAGTTATTTAATATGAGTTAGGAGTAAGTATTGCAAAGTTGCTAAATATTATGGAGAATGGGTCACTGAGATTCTGAACAATATATAAATACATATAAGTAAACATATGTTTAATTAATTTTTAACATTCCCTTTCTAATAATAGAAACAAAATATAATTTTCAAAATTAGTTACTCTTTAGTAAACTTTAATTTATATTTATATAGAATCTCTTGTGTATTGTTTTTCATGATAATATTACATGAATGATAGTACGGTACAGTTCACGCTACAATTGCGTGACTAATACTTGAAGGATATATTTGTTTTATGATGTATAAAAGAATATGGTAATAGAATATTTAGATATTACATATATAATTGTTTATTTAAAAAATTTGTATCAAAAAATTACATTAACAAAAAAAATTAATGTGATTTTTATGCTTTTAAAATCATTGTGCATATTTCAGGAGCACATAAATTGAGGAATATTTTAAGACTAAAACCAATTTGCTACCTGTATTTTAACTGGTTAGGTACTCTTGTACGTATGGGGTACTCACGTTCAGGTCGGTCGAAGGGGATAAGCACGAAAATTTCATTGTGCATATTTCGAGAACACATTAATCGAGAAACATTTTAAGACAAGAATTATTTCGCTTTCTCTATTTTAACTGATACTTTATTCTTATATCAGTAGTATATATATCTTTTTTTTGCGTATATTTTTTAAACTATTACAAATAGACTAATTTTGTTTGAGGCATTTGAAAGCACATAAAAAGCATATAATTCTAGCATATTGAGTTTTTTATTTTATATGTAATTTTAATGAGTGGGGGTGCTAGCTTACGTTAAGCCAGCACCCTCAGTTTCAATTGCAATTTCCCACGAAACTGCTCGAGCACAAAAATCGTGAATAGAGCACATAATTAACGCATAAAGAACACTTAATTTCTGCATATGTGTTATTCCGGTTTTTTATGGAGGGTGCTAACTTAACAGACATAAATACATTATATTACTTTTTTACCTTTTAAGATTTTTTCCTTTGTTTACGGATGTTTGCAAATCTAAGCTATTCCATTATAGAGTGTTCCAAGTCTTTCTCTGTATTACAAGGGATTGTTGTCTAACAGCCTCTAAAACAAGAAGAATTCAATATAGTTTAGATAAGAAAAAGGTTGTAATTTAATATATACCTTATAATTTAATTATAATAAGCAGAGCTTTTTACTTACGACTTGTGTAAAAGCTTCTTGGTCATCTTTTAGCATT